TAGGTATGTTGGTGTTTGTGTATTTATAAAAGCATGCAAGTGTGCATGTGTGTGTGATTGTGTGTGTATGCATGTGGATATATGAAAGTATAGTTAGGTATGTATGTATGTGTGTAAAGATGTGAGTTTAGGTATAAATGTGTGGATATATGTATGCATGTGTGTGGGTGTATGTATTCATGTAAGTGTAAATGTGTGGTTTTGGGCATATGTTGGTGTCTGTACATGTAATGGTATATGTGTGTATGCATGGGTGCATGTATAGATGTATATATATGGAATGCGTGTGTGCATGTATATCCATAAATGTACGTGTGTGTGTTTTGTTTGTGCATTTATTTCTGTGTATGTGTATGCTTGTATATGTATGTAGATGCAGGTGTGTATGTATCGCGTATGTCTGTATATGAGTTCACCTGTATGAAAATGTAGATGTATGTATACGTGTGTGTGAGTGTGTATGATGGCGTACACACGATGTGTGTATGCATTATATATTTCTTTTTAAATCCATAACATGCATTATTGATAACAGATATTAGTACTCTGAAAATGAGTACTTAGAAGGGCCGAATGTCAGACGGGCCTGCGTGCCCAATTTGTAACCCTTTGAAAATAAAGTTTGTTCGTTCGTTCGTTCGTTCGTTCTATCTATCTATCTATCTACCTGGCATTATCAATTTATAATTAAATAAGGTGTGTATGATATGTATGTGTGCGTGTATGTGTGGCATGTACATGTGTGGTATGTATGTGTAGGCGTGTTTATGTATGTATGAGTGTGTGTATCGGTAATTGTATAAGTTGTTGCGCGTGTGTGTGTATCTGCCTTGTGCGTGTGACTGTATGTGTGTCTGTTTGTGTGTGTCGGTGTGTAAATGTGTCTCTATGTGGTGTGTCTGTTTGTGCCTACGTGTGTGTGTCTGTGTGTGCCTGCGTGTGTGTATGTGTGTGTTTGTGTGTGTGTGTGTTTGTGTGTGTTTGTATCTGTGTATGTGTGTGTCTGCGGAAGTGTCTTCTGTGTGTATATGTCTGCGGGTGTGTCTGTGTGTCTCTGAGTGTTTATATATCTGTGTGTGCGTGTCTGTGTGCATGTCTGTGCATGTGTGTTTACGTATGTGTGTGTCTGTGTGTGTCTGCGAGTGTTTGCGCGTGTGTGTCTGTGGGTGCATGTTTGTCTCCGTGTATGACTCTCTGTGTGTGTTTGCATGTGTCTATGTGTGTGTCTGTGCGTTCTACTTTTATGTGTATGTGTGTGTGTTTGTGTGTGTGTCGTTGTTGTGTGTGTGTTTGTCTGTATGTGCCTGTGTGTGTGTATGTCTGTGTATGTTCGTGTGTGTTCGTGACTCCGCGGGCGCTTATGTGTGTGTTTGTGTGTGTCTGTGTGTGTCTACGTGTGTTTCTGTGGGTGTGTCTGTTTGTATATCTTTGTGTATGTGGATTATGTGTGTATATATGTATGTGTATGTGAGTCTGCGTGTGTGTTTGTCTGTGTGTGTGTCTGCGTGTGTGTTTGCCTGTGCCTTTGTGTATGCGTGTGTATCAGCGTGTGTGTGTGTCTGCGAATGTGTGTGCGTGTGTGTGTTTGACTATCTGCGTGTGTGTGTCTGCGTGTATGTCTATGTGTGTGCGACTGCGTGTGTGCCTGTGGGTTGTGTTTGTATCTGTGTGTTTATGTATATGTGTCTGCGTCTGTGAAAGAAGGGTGTCTGGAAGGGGCAAATGTAAGACAGGCCTGCGTGCCCAATTTGTGACCCTTTAAAAACCAAATGTGTTCGTTCGTTCTGTACACCTGACTGTCCATCTGCGTACATGCTTACTTGATACGGTGGCTGTCAACCTTCCTAATGCCCGCGACCCTGTAATACAGTACCTCATAGAATTAGTTTCGTTACTACTCCACTGAATATGTTTTTTTTTCCAATGGTCTTAAGCGACCCCTGTGAAAGAGTCGTTGGACCCAAACAGGGTCGCCACTCACAGGGTGAGAACCGCTGACTTAGAACAAACCGAAAAACCGCAATATTCCCCAGGGGTGGTAATTACAGAAGAAGAAGAAGAAGAAGAAAAAGAAGAAGAAGAAAAAGAAGAAGAGGAAGAAAAAGAAGAAGAAAAAGAAGAAGAAGAAGAAGAAGAAGAGGAAAAAAAAAAACAATACATAGACAGGTGCCCGAACTTTGAGACAGGCAACATTAGCGCCCGCAACCACCCCCCCCCCCCCCGGGCCACTCCTCCCCCCAAAGAAGAAGTTAACTTCAAGTGGCTACGTTGTCCTTTTTTGTCCATATACATAAATATACTTTAAAAGTGTTTGTTTATGCATTACATTATATATATATATATATATATATATATATATATATATATATATATATATATATATATATATATATATATATATATTCTTTATTCATTTGCCATTCAGCAGTGTATTTATTTATTTTTATATTATTATTTTTACGACTATGCTTTCAATCTTCAATTAATTCTCTGGGTCCTATCCACTCTGACCTTTTTAACGATTGCAGGTGGAGGAGGTTAGTTCCTAATGATTTTTTTTAAAGAGTTGGAGCTGCTGATTACAAGTCCTTTACAGCACAACAAATCTCCAATGCTCACTGCAGTTGACATCTTTACGCTGGTGGGCATTAAGACCAAGTCTTGGCAATCCGGGTTTAAAAGAGTTTAAATCTGGATGAATTTAGCAATAAAGACACATACATGTAGAAACATCCATAACGGATGAGGTGGACATTCTTTGACTACATGTGAATGAACGAAAGCCGATGGAAGATTCTAAATACAAAATGAGCTATGACAAAATGTCAACGGAAGGAAGGGAAAAGCCACGCACAAATATGTCAGACTGGTTGAATAAGTTAAGTGTGGGTCCCGCAAGAAAGGACGCCCTCAGGGAAAATTACAGCATGCGTACAAGCAATATGCTACTGAAACGATCCGCATTTACAAACTGCTGATTCCATGATTTCTTCTTCTTGTTCTTCTTCTTCGTTCACCGGCTGTGAATTCCGGCGGAAGGTCCCTGTTAATTGTCCGCTTGGACTTTTGGCTTTAACCTGGACCCGAGTTTTGCGTGTACAACCGTTTTACTGGCTTTTGCCGTTCCCTGCCTCACGGGCAGCTGTACTCCGACTTCGAGGAAAATCTAATGATTTAAGCATCGACATCTTTGCAGGCAAAAAACTCTACAGGTGGTACATCTCCCACAGCAAACATATATTGCAACAATACCAATAATACACATGTATATCTCCCAACCCGACTGCCCGTTTTACAGCCCAGTTTCTAGTTTTCAAGTTTGACTTCATTTATAAACAATACATTCAGTTCTGAAGTTGGCTTTTAATCATTTCCTGGAACAATACAGCTGTCTGGGAAATAAACGGCTATGGTTTGTTTCATATGTAAATGATTCCAGGGGCAATCGGATAGAACAATATGATTTCTCAATAAACTATGAACGATTTCTGGCCGTGCTCGGTCAGGGGAATTGTAAGCTGACTGATGGAAAGATTATTAGGAGCGATCGATCAGACAATCTATAATTAATCATTGCATGCTGGAAGGATACACAACTTGAACTATGTGTAGTGTTCAGGAAAGATATGCAGTCGATACTGAACTGCTGCCCAGACATTGTATGTAAGTAGTTAATGCAACATCGTCAGGCTACATGCCGATTGGGTGGTCATGATTCGCCATAACAAACGATTTCCAGAATTGCTAAAATATCTGAATATCAAAGACGATTGGCTAGTTGAAAGCATTTTGTCTCGGAAACTGCAATATTTTACTCATATCAAACGCCACGGCGGAGTGGAAAAAAAAAACATAAGCAGAAGGCCTTCTGCCAGAAAAGAAGATGAACACAAGATATAAGCAAAACTTTGGATATACGAGCCAGGACATTGGCGAGAGAACGAGGTACTTTGGGGCACACTGTGATGAGAGCGACGTTCTGCAGAGGACCTGCTGCATGATGGGTCTTCCCTGAATCCTCCCGCGTATTGGTTTAAGCTTCGATCAAAACTGAGGCCTAGATACACATAGGATTAAAAAAAATCCGCTGCTGCAGTTTCGCGATAAGAGTTAATTATTCTGCCAAACATTTAGAACTGTGATCGACCATTCGGCAGTTTAATCGGTGTCTACCATTTCCTCCAGCTCAGAAAACATGTTGAGAGATGACAGATGCACACATCTGACCGTCAGAGGTGGAAGGAGCTGGTCGGACAATCAACAGCAGCTGGTGGCCCAAAGACACACACTGTCATGGGATGACGAGGATGATAATGATGCTGATGATGATGATGAAACGTCCAGTACACATCTGGAAATCTGATCACCACGCCACCCGCGTAGAGCATATCCTGACACGGATCACCACACTACATGTCTAGTGCACATCGTCACACTGATCACCACGTGAACCATCTAGTGCACATCGTCACACTGATCACCACGTGAACCATCTAGTGCACATCGTCACACTGATCACCACGTGAACCATCTAGTGCACATCGTCACACTGATCACCACGTGAACCATCTAGTGCACATCGTCACACTGATCACCACATGAACCGTCTAGTGCACATCGTCACACTGATCACCACGTGAACCATCTAGTGCACATCGTCACACTGATCACCACGTGAACCATCTAGTGCACATCGTCACACTGATCACCACGTGAACCATCTAGTGCACATCGTCACACTGATCACCACGTGAACCATCTAGTGCACATCGTCACACACTGATCACCACGTGAACCAACTAGTGCACATCGTCACACTGATCACCACGTGAACCATCTAGTGCACATCGTCACACTGATCACCACGTGAACCATCTAGTGCACATCGTCACACTGATCACCACGTGAACCATCTAGTGCACATCGTCACACTGATCACCACGTGAACCATCTAGTGCATATCTTGATACTGATCACACCGTATAGTACACATCTTCACA